TTATCTATTTCTAATCTCTGTAATTGGACATACATTATAATACTTCCTTTTATCTTATATGTATATAAATAAAAAAAAAAATTTTCTATTAGTACTTATTTTATTAATTTTCTTATCTTTTACTAATTTTATTATTTTTCATCATTTAGTAGTTTCACCAGTTTCAACAGTTTCGACAGTTTCGCCATTTTACCATTTTCAATTTTTTTTTGGCGAAACCTCTAAGTTTCGCCTAACAACACTAATCGAACCTATTATATATCTCCGAAAAGACAACGACTTTTTATGCATAATATTCAAGAATAAAACTCTAGAGTAATTCATCATCATATTTAGCCGTTTTTCTTTAAAAAAAAAAGGAAATTTAAAACAAACAATATAGTCAGTAAGTTAATCATCGATGTATTTTTTTTTTTTCTAAAAAAAAAAAAATTTGCAGATTAGTAATAATTAGAGATGGGACATTGTGCGCCTGCGCAGTATTTCGCTGCGCAGGCATTTTTTGAGGCTGCGGTTCGGATCGGCTGGAAAGAAAAACGGATCTGCATCACCTGGTTAATAGAATCCATCGTTCATAATTCTGGTCAAACGTGCAGATCATTTGACCACATTTAAAGTTGTTTTGTTCTAGATCTGGCCAAATGATCTGCAAATTTGACCAGAATTATCAATTCACCGATATGCAGAGAAAAAGCGAAAAAAAACGCAAAACAACAAAAACTGACGTTTAAACTAACCTTTGGAGCATTAATTAAAAATGATGGGAGCCCAACTTTACACATATGAAGTAAATGTTTTATATATATAAACGCGAAACCTAATGAGTAAAAGTCTCTAGAGACTGAGGTTGTGCAGGCTGTGCAGCCTGCGCAGTAGATCGATTCTAGTAATAATCATATTATCTATAAAAAGTTCCAACCTATATTGCAATTATTAAAAAAACGTGTAAAGGAAAAAAAAGAAAATATAAAGAAAACGTAAAAGAACAAAAAACTTAAAAGAAAAAAAACTGTAAAAAAGAACGGAGGAAATAAAAAGACTTAAAAAAAAGACATTTACCAGTTTATTTACGTGAGAGTGACACGAATCCAGATGATTGATTGGCTATCAATTTCACATGATAGAATTGTTGCGACTAGGGCCACCGAATTTCTGCTGCGGCAGACCCCAAATTCTGCTTAGCCTAGAGGACGATTTATGCGAAATTATGCGAAAATTTTGTGTCAAATATGCTGTAAATTATATATACCAAATAATAATAACTTGAATATATTTATTCTTAATAATATTAATTTGACTTTAGTTTTCGCTATTATTATTAAAATACATAAAATTCAATGCTTCAAATGATGCTTCTGAAAAAGAAGTTTACTCGTCATCAAGAATATTTTTATATGTTGAAAAACTTCATTCCATATCTACACCTGATATCGGGAGCTATATATAAACTAAAGTCAATTTTGATAAGTTAGACAAGTTCCAGACTTTTTCTCGCCAGTAAAGATCTAAATCAAATTCTTCAATACTCGAAAAATCTTAAGTTAATTTACAGTAAATTCCTTAAGATTTTTCGAGTATTGAAGAATTTGATTAGTTGGTGATTTAAATTCTTGAATTTCTAAATATAAATAAATATTTTGCTGATTTTGTTGAATAAGGTAAGATAAACAATGTGTTACCAATGGTGCAACAGGTTTGTTTCAAATTTCTATAAACTCAAGATCTTTAACAAGACTAATACATATAAATATATATTATATAATTAATTTATTGTATATAAAATTTTAAATAATTAAGCTTACTGTACTGCATTAAATAATATAAACATAGAAATAATTTTAAAATTAAAAGTATTTGTATTATTTTTAAAAATTGTTACTAATTCTTGAATTATTTGACTTTTATTACTAATTTGTTCATCTTATAAGTAAAATTGATATAATTATATAATATTATTATTGATCCAAAAAACAAATCTAAACTATGAATTCCATTATATCTTAACAGATAATAGAGGTAAAGCAGCTTAATTAGTCATATTTAAAAAGATTTAATAAAACTAATCCAATATATTTTGTATGCTGAACATTGAACAAAAGATGGTTTGATATTTTTTATAGTGCTAGAAAAAATTGAAAATTTTTGTAATGAACCCATAATTCATCAACTAAATTCAAAATATAAGCTAAAAAATGATTATGTATTAGTTGGAATATTAAAGGCAATAAAATTTCAAAAGCTTTTATCATATATAATGCATTATCTAAAATAAAAAAAATAAAATTTTCAAAAGGTATATTGTAAAATTGGATAACTTTCATAACTAACTGTGTATTAGCAATTATAATAAATTCAGTTTTAACTAAAACAATACACTTATTAAAACTAAACAGTATATTAACAACCGTCTTACTTCATATATCAGTTGTTTATCTATTATAATAGAAATTCATTTTTTATATAAAAGATTTTGTAATTTTAAAACTTTATTATTATATAATTTTATTAAATATTTACTACAAAGTTGATCAGAACTTATGATTGCATCACCTAAAACAAAAAATAAAATTAAAGTTTATTTATCATAATAAAGTTTATAAATAGTTACTATTTTTATAATATTCCAAAAAAAAACTTTCCAGCTTATTGACTTTTTCAAGAGAAATATTAGCATTAGTAAATGCTTTTACTAATGCAATATTAATACATTTATGATCATTTAAAATATTACTAGTAGTGTCAAGTGTTGTTTAACAAGATGACTTTAACTTTTCAGCCTTAATTACATTATTTTTATGCTTGTCAGATTTTAAATGCAAATCCAAGTAGATTTTTTTGTATGATCTACAACATGTTTGCAAAATTCACAAAATAATTTTTGACCATCTATATAAAAATTCTTCTTATATTCAGAATTTTCAAGCCTACGCTCTGTTGGAGAAACTATTGTTATAAGGTCTTCTGTATGGAATTAATTTATATGCTAAAATGATATTAAGTTTAACAATATAATTATGCAAGGGAGTTTATAAGTTTTTATTTAATTGTATAATTATTAACCCGAAGGTTCTTGTTTTAACAAAGGTGAAATTACAACTCTTTTTGTAGTTTCGAAATTGAAAGAAATAATCATTCTAGATTAAAGGGATTTTCAATTTATTTATTCTTCATAGAAGATGGCAGCTACAATCTTAAGGGCTTTGAATGAATCGAAAGACTTATTCTCTAACATATGGTTTTATCGCTTACTCAATCTTAGGATCATCTTTATTGATATAGTATGCATTTCTTTATGACTTTTCTAAGATTTACGTTTGTTTATATCTTTCAACTTTTCCATCGATGATCCTACCAGCCTTATCCCTCTGATCCTATACCATAATTAATCCTTATGATTTCTGATCTACAATCTCCAAGTTTCGTACCAGTATTGCAGATTATGATATTTACATATCGATATATGTACACATAATTATGCTTCTAAAATTTTAAGCAATTATGCGAATTCTGCTCTAGCATATAAAAATATGCCATCACATATGCTATGCGATAAAAATCATATTTATGCGCATATTATGCTATCACCGATTTTCGGTGGCCCTAGTTGCGACTAATTTCTCCCCACACTTTCTATTGGTTGGAATTTTTTTTTTTGTGATTGTTTACATGTCACCATTCTTTTTAAAATGTGCCACCTCAGTTAGGGTTAGTGTTAGGTTTAATGGTAAGTTATACATACTAAAATTTTGCAAGGAATTTTTTTTTCTTATTTTCGTTGTTTTGTTAATTTTCACGTTACACCATATCTTGTCCCGTGACTTATGCTAATTGGCTCAAATCGAAACCGTAGGGGAGAAATTAGCGAATACCTCATATGTTGAAACTTATGTAATAAGAGTTTTAAGTATCTTCACTCTACGGTATAATTTTGCATGGCCTAATAGTCGATTAATATATTTGTCTTCTAAGAAAGGTCCGTTAGGAGTGTGATTCTTTGGCAAGGTGTTTAAAGCCGAAAATGGCTTTTGTGGCTATTTTTTATTTAGTGAAATGTCCAGTTCTAAAAAATACCTTAAAACATATAAATAAGTTACCCTGTCATTTAACTTACATCAGCCAATCAACCGAATTTCTGCTTGATCAATAGTAATGTAGTAACTACCAGATAATTAATAGATATTAGCCAATCCGTATATTCGAGAAAAATTTTTTAAATTCAATTAGGTATAAGTTAAAAGTAAAAAAAAAAAACTTTGAACGAGAATTATAGCAAACTTTATAATTGTCTGAAACGTAGTGAGGACCTCTACGGCGAGACAAATCGAGAGTTTACGGGGCCCGTGAAAGATCTGTAATGAGTGTAATAATTATAATAGTATATATACGCTTCGGATCCATATCAGATTCTGATTTCAAACTTCTACGTATGTACTAAAGGTAGAGTATTTGCTCAAGAATATAGCACAACAGTTATTAAAGTTAGACCGAATACTCATAATGGTACATTTACTACATAGAATTAACATTTAAGGAAAAATGGCTGAATGAAACCTTTAAAAGGAAAATCGTATAATATATACCTTAACATTTAACGATGATATATATGGATAAAATAAATTAACGTTAATTCTTTTATTGATATTTATGGAATTATTTGGTAGCACGTTCGGAAAACAAATACTGTATGTATCAGTTTATGAATCTAAACACTTATATTTCACATATTTGATACGAACTTGCACACATAATAGAATGTCAGAAGATATCGACAATATTTCAGCCCAAGAATTCGTTCCTTGGTTAAGAGAAATAGCAGAAATTGTTGAGAAACTCGTAATATTTTATCAAAATGTAGAGCATAATAAACGAATTTGTGGAGTGCTAATGGTTAGAATACAAGCAGCTCGTGCGTCAATAAACAGTTTAGAAATTTGTGCATGCGAATTTCCTGAATCCACCGATTTTTTTACTCCGGAAAATTATATAAATTTACGAAATTTTAAACTTTTTCTGAAAAAAATTGAAGAATTTATCAAGAAAGTTCAAAATATTCAAAATTACCAATTCTTTCTTGATAAAAATTCTATAAAAAATGAATTTTATGACCTTATTGATAAATTCGATGATTATATGAAATCATTAAATTTTTCAATGGCCATCAATATAAAACATCCATCAAAAGATATTGAATTGATAAAGAAAGATATTGATGATATGAAAGAGGTAATACTCATATTTAATAGTGTGAAATTTACATGCATTGATTATCATAATTTTGTTTATTTTGTTTATTTTTCTTAATTAGTATCTTAAATGGATTATGGAAAGTACTAATAAAGAACAAATAGATAAGATTGAAGAGATTATGGAAAGTACTAATAAAGAGCAAATAGATAAGATCGAAGAAATCACATTAAGTAACAGTGAGTTGTTACAAAAAATTACCGTGAAAATTGAAGATTTAATAAGAAATAAAAATGCATATGACAACCCAAAAATGCAAAAACTTATCCGTAAGGAAATTATTGCAAGTGCAAGTCTTAATCCTGATGATTTTATTCTTGATCAAGAAAAACCAATTCGTGGCAGAGTTCGAAAATATCATTACAAACGTTTTGGTGAGTTTGATGTAGCACTTAAGGAATTAGAACAAAAAACAAAAATGTCAGATAGACTTGTACTTCAAATTGGAATTTTGAAAAATATTAATGAATCAAGAGATATTGTTCAATACATTGGTCTTGTTACAATTAATTCTCGGCAATTTCTTGTTACCCAATGGGCTGAAAATGGAACGTTGCGTGAATATTATGTAAAGAGAAATCCAGATATCAAAATCAGAGCGAGACTTGCTTTGGAAATCGCGCGTGGATTAAATTATCTTGAGGCATATAAAATATTTCATCATGATGTTCGGAGTGAGAATGTATTAGTTGATTATTTTGAACATGCAAAAATCACAAAATTCGAATTCAGTCGTAGTATTGGTGATGCTGTTAGTAGCACCAATCTTGATGTTACCATGGAAAACGTCCGCTACATGGCTCCTGAAAAGATTAATAATAGCGCTCTACGATATAACTCAAAATGCGAAGTGTTCAGGTAATCAATTATTTCTTAAAAGATTAGAAATTTATATTATAAAACCTAACTTATTTAATTGACTACATAGTTTCGGAATGCTTTTATGGGAACTTGCAGAACAAAAACTTCCTTTTTCTGAAACTGGAAATACTGTACTTGCAATAAGTCAATTAATAGTAGACAATACGATGAATCTAAAATTTTCGAGTCATGATGTACCAAAAAAATGGAAAAGTCTTGTATCTAAAGGTAAATTTAACTTTAATTCCGCATATTTCAAAAATTTGACACGATATTCATTCATATATAATATTCTAAGCTACTCAATACAAAGCCATAGACCGTCCAGAGATGAAGGAAATACTTAGGAAAATTAGATTCATTAACGAATCGATTAATACAACTACTCCCGATGCGTCAGATTCACATAATGATTTACAAACGTTAACATTTAATGAAGCAATTGAACAGACAAATCTTAAAAATGGTTCTAAAGAAAGAGCTTGGAAAACAATTGTTAAATATTCAGAAAAAAAGGATGATTTTACTGCAAAATTTTGGAAAGGATATTATCTTTTTTATAAATTAGTCAAGTTTCCATATTCTGATGATGAAAGAATCCAGCTTGCTGCTAAAGCATTTAAAGAAGCTGCAGATGGAGCAAATCACAAGGAGGCACAATTTATGTACGCTTCATGTATTTATAAAAAGATTCCATCCGAAGCGATAAAATATTTTAAAATGGCAGCTGCACAGCAACATACCATTTCGATGCATAATTTAGGATTGTTATATTATAATGGTAAGTACATTGATGTCGACAAAAAGGAAGGTGAATATTGGTTTAAAAGAGCCGCAGATGGTAATTTGGAAGCTTCCATTATTTTTTGCAAAAATCATGGGATCACTTTTTAATTACTGTATCTGAATGATAACTCGAATTATGGAGTATGTTAATCGTTATACAAAACAGAATGTAAAGTGAGTGATTTTAAACTCGATCCTCTAAATTCATTAGCATATAAAATAGATGGTATTGGTACTACCTTAAGTATAGCAGATAATATTGAGAAACCCTATATTTTATTAAATTTCAATCAAGAGTTATACTACTTACGTCTAATCACCTTGCTTTAGCACTGTAAAGCACAATTTCAAAATTGTAATTTGATTAATTCAATTAGATTTATATATGTGCATTGCCTTTACATGGGCCATTGAATTAATTATGATTAAGATAATAAAAAAAGATAATTTGACCTGTTTTCATTATAGTGTTCTTTAAATTTGACCAATGCTTTGTGCAAATGTAACGGAGGTTATACCAGGAACATAGTACGAAGTACAGAGTATACCTGGAACAGACCATGAAAGATCGTCGTATATGTGTTGCATCTAAAGTAGCGCCTGGAATGCATTAGTTTATAATTTTAGCCAGGGCTCTACTTTAGATATATAAAGTGGTTACTTTAGATAAATCGCGCGACATATGCACCAACCATCTTTAATATGCGTAATATTTTAAAGTACTAAAACCTCATGTTAGGGTTTGGATATAATTTTTTTTATTGAGCGCAGAAAGTGGTTTATAATCAAGAAAAGGTGATTTTCACGTTACACCTGATCTAGTGATCTTATTGGCGACGATCATTCAAAAAAATGATTGATGCAATGTATGGTTAGAATGCGAATTAATGGTGTACGTTGTAACAGTTAAATCTGGTAGAACTACAAAATATTCTAACTGGGTAACTACTGAGGTTGAGATAGCACGAATGTTAAGTAATACTGCTAGAATTTACTCTTTACACCCTAATGTGTAGGCTACGATTGAGGAGTGGATTGATTTGGTCCGAGAGTAGGGTGTACCTTGATACTGCGGTAGTCACGTGGCTGGTAGTAAGTCTTCCTCTGACCCTTGGGCTGGAATCTTTGTGTATTATACTAATACTGGTTGCTAATACTAGGTCTTTACCATTTACTATAGAATGGTCTCTTCTATTGTTCAAGTGCGCCTGGGTTTCAAACTGCTTTCGGGTTTCGAATTTCGAGGTCACGTGTCACGGGATCACGGTTCGGTGTGATTACGTATGTAAGTTTATTTAACAATAGGGTCAATCACAAACTTAATGAATTTAATAATTTTTATATAAAAGGGGATCGATTACTAATAAGATCTTTCTTTTTTACTTTTAGCAAACTATTGATAACAGGTCTTTTACTAATTACTGGAACAAGTCAAATACAATAACATGAAATACTATAAGCATATAGGTACTTAAGGAACTACTATTATTATTATTTCATAGTTTCAAACTTAAAAGGGGATTTATCTTTATTGTAAATAAACTTTTGCACTTTTATATACATTTTCTTTGCTACATATTTTTTTAACATATTTGTTCTATCTATCCTATATACTAGATCTGCTCCTTTTGCTATATCTGTCATAGCTGGCAGATTTGACAGATTCAGGTTGATTTTAGTTAAATTGATTGAATCATCTTGGCAATGATCATTACCTATTTTCTCTTTTACAATTCTCACAGTCTTGTTTTCAAGTTCTACAAAAATAATACTGTGTCAAGTAAACAAGTTTGTTATATATAGAGAGAGTAACAAATTAACAGAAAAAAAAAAGAAAAAAAAAAATATATATATAATATACA